CCCCCCCCCCAGAGCCCGTGCTTCTGTCAGGGGAGCAAAGACCACGTACCTGGTGCATTTTCTTTCCTGCCTGTGTGGGAACACACCTCCCCCACCACACCTGGCTGAAGGCTTTGCCGGCCATGGCGTCCCCATCGGAGTGCCTGCACGTAGCGAGTTCTGGAATCTGCCGATGGCCCAAACAACAGTGTGTCACAGTTGGGCGGGGTCAGGACCGCTGACTTGGCTGCCCCTGCCCGTGCCCTACTGGACCATCCCTGGCCACCACCCGCACATAGGGAGCACCCACCAGCAGCCAGCTGGTAAACACCACAGCCAGGCAGCCCCCAGCACGTCCCCGAGGAAGGAGCCTCCCTCCAGGAGGCACGCAGAGGTGGGTCCCCGGCAACCCGCCCCTTCCGTTCCGAAGGCCGGCCTTTCAGCAGCAATGAGCCGCTGAGCCAGACCCTCAGCGCCAGGATTAGGCCTTTCCTTTCCTGGAGCTCAGCTGTTTCCTCTCTTGCCCGAGGTTATTCGATGGAGGGAACCCAGCAGTTTTCACTTCTATCTTAAGGCCTCCTTTGTGGGGTTTGCCGGCCACACAGTCGGGGAAGTGTTCGCAGAGATGATGCACCTCTGTCTAGTGGGCGGGGGGCGGGTATTTTTTGTCTCGCTGCCCGAGGCTCTTCTCCAGATGCAGCGACGATCTGAGTGGCCCACGGCCAGGGGTAGGCACATTTATTTGCAGGGGTGAGAGGGCTGCCCGTCCCAAGGCAGGACGCCCCCGGGATAAGGGGTGAAGGCAACCCAGAAAATGGACCCTAGGGGCTGGTTGTTCTGCCCTCCGGCCTCTTGTTTTGTGGTCCTTGCCGACTGTGGTCCTCGGTGAGGCCTCACCTGCAGGCCACAGGTCTCCCCAGCGGCTCAGCCACGGGCCCCTCACCTGCACTCCATTTACAAGACAATGCATCTGAATAATTCAGGGCAGTCAGGGAGGGTAGAATGGTGGAGAGTCCCGCCCCTCGCTCTGGTTCACACGCCCTCCCTCCTGTGTCTCCCAGGCGGGTCTGCTCTGCGTTGCCTGCGTGGGAACCCCCTGGCCCCCACGGACCCTCCCCAAGTCTGCAGGGGGCATGGGGGCCTGGGAATCTGCCTGGGCCTTTTTATCAGGCAGGAAGCAGGGAACCCTCAAACAGGATGGTCCCAGCAGGGCTTATCCCTAAAATAGGGTGTGGGGCATCCACGAGGGCTAGTGTGGGACCCTGGACTTGTGGCCGCAGCGAGGCTGTGGCCGTGGCTCCCCTCAGGCCTGGAGGAACAAGGGGACGGCAGAGCCCAGAAAAACAGAGACCTGGAGAGAAGCCACTTACATGGAGCAGTGACCTTCCGCAGAGGCTGTCCTGACAGCTCGCCCTGCCCTCCCCCTGATCTCCTGTTGGGCTCCCATTGGCCAAAGCCAGCCAGAAGCCGGACACAGCAGGCCCTTGATAAGGTCGTAGGGTCGGCCTCCCACGCAGAGAGCAGGCAGTCAGTTTACTTTTTCTCCGCTTGATGACGTTGTAGACGAGAAGGTCTGCAATTCACCTTCCGTGAGAGGAAGGTACACTGGAGTCTTTTCTGGAAAGGTGTTTCCAAAGCAGCCTCTTTGCACAGGCATGTTGAACTTTGTCAAGCTCGGCGGAGCCCCTCCCGCACCACCCCCTGCGGAGGTTCAGGGCTGGTCTGGACTATTTGTGATCCTGACTCCTGACTCTGTCGCAGACGTGCATTGTTTCCGAGGCCCTCTTGGAGGATAAACGTTTGCACCGCCAACTCGCAGAAGAGCAAACGCACCTGATGGGAGAGGTTTGCAGAGTATTTGGAAATGACGCTTTATTCCAAACTCAGGTTTGGCCGCAGGGTGGCTGCGGGGTGGGGAGACGCAGGCTCCCTGTGGAAACGGCTCTCACGTGGGCGTCTCATCTCTTTGCTGTTCCTGCGGAGGATTCTGTGCAAGGGGGCACTGGGTCCCTGAGCACGGGCCTGCTGTCGTGCTGGGTGTCTGCAGGGGTCACATCGAGGCCCCTCGCCGTGCCCCAGGACCTCTCCGCCGGGGCTGCGGGCATAGACCCTTGTTAATGAGAGGTTTAGGATGGTCCTGGGGAAACCAGGATGGCTCATGTCCGCCTTGACCGTGGCATCAGGGGGTGTCCGCCCAAGCCAGCTGTGCGCCCCGGGAGTCTGCACAGACGTGTAGACTGGGCAGACACGGACGTGCCAGGGAGGCGCGCTCCTGGGACACATCAGGCAGGGTGGCCTGTTTGGGGCATGGGGCTCGAGGAGAGAGTGGGTGGTGGGAGTGGTGGTCACACAGGGCCAGATCGGCTGGGGGTTTTGATGTAGGATGAAGAAGGGGTTGAGGAGGACGTGAGGCGTGTTCTGTAGGTGTCCGCACCTCGGGACTATTGACGCCTGTCATTAGCGCCTCATTCTTTGTTTCCGAAGGGTGTTAAGCAGTGCCCCTGACTTCTATCCATTAGGTGCCAGCAGCACCCCTCGTTGTGACAACCAGAATTGTTTCCGTCTCTTGTCAGGTGTCCCCACGGGTGCCTCAGCAGGGGAACTGATGCGTTGGCCGGCCATACCCGCCTGGATGGGACGGTGGAGTCCCTTGAGGCTGGGCTGGCCACACGGTCCTGGGTAGGCTTGGCCCGTGCTGGCTCGGGGCCATTCCGAGATGATGTGGGCTGCCTTTAGTAAGCCCGGGAAGTATTTTCATTAAGAAAGGAGAGCTCGAGTTAAATGGAAACCCCCTCCAGCATCAGTATTCTCTCCTTCTGATTGGACAGAGCATCCAAGTGCTTCAGATTTCCATGACCTTGGTGAAAGGGGCTGCTGGGTGTCGTCAGGACCCTGCCCTGTGTTTCTGGAAGTCACTCATAAGCTCTGGGGTCTGAGCCGCACATTAACCTCCAGGAATCTCGAAGGGAGTGGGTGATGTGCGGGGCAGTGCAGAGGAATGACCCCACAGGCTGCCCCCTGGGCTCGGGGTGGGGGTCTCCCTCTGCACGGAGTGCTCCAGAAAACCCAAGGGTTTCTGCCCAGAGTCTTGTGTCAGGCTGGTTTTGATGGGAGCCCTCCTGGGGGTCATTCCTACAGACCCCCTGTGGTTCAAGTGTGTGGCCTTGGGGTTGTGGCTGCCTGGTCTCCCTGATCACTCCTTGCAGCCCTTCATGCCATGTGTTCACTCACCGATATGTGGAGCATTTATTGAGTGTCTACTGCATGCCAGGCACTGTTCTAGATATGGGGACGCACAGAGCACAGAAGGGGTAAAGCCATCACCTGGGAGCTCCTGTTCCAGAGACGGGGGAGGGAGAGGGAAGAGGGAGGAGGAGGGAGGGGAGGAGAGGGAAGAGGAGGAGGGACAGAGAAGGAGCAGTGAGCACCTTCCTTGAGCTGACTCTTCTGGACAAGTCGGCCTGCATGACCTCGCCCCTCCCCACCCCTCCAGCAAGCACTGGGCCAGGCAGGGGAGGTGTGGGGCTTGTGTTGTTTGGGCTAGAGCCCCCCAAGAGCCTGTCCTTGTGAGATGTGTCCAGAAGGGTGGAAAGTGGCTGTTAATAGAGAGTGATCGGCATGTGCTGCTTTCTGAAACGGTGCAGATGTCAGCAGCTGTTAACTGTTGTTTTTTATGAGAAGGGACACGTAGTTCTCTTGTCGAGTCCGACTTAGGGGGAAGCGGAGAAGTTATTTGGCAGAATAGAGGGTGGTGCAGCCGTGAGGAGGAATGAAGTCGATTTCTGCGTGCTGACGTGGAAACGATCTCTAAGAATGTTGTTCATGGGTTTAACAACCACACTGAAGGCCG